CGTCGATAGTTAACGAGTAATTTGCAAAAAACTGTTTTTTCGTTTTTCGTAAATAACTCGTAAACTATTAATGCTAGCGAAAATTTTTTATACAGAAATTGTAGATCTCGTCGTCCTCTACAAGAAAGGTCCTATGCAATTTTCTCGTAGGACCAGCAGTTTAGGAGTTCTTGAGGGAAAACGAAATTTTTTGTCAAAAGTTCGCCATTTCGACGCTGGGATGGTTGGATTTCGTCAATGCCAATAAAATGCCAATTAACTGCACTTAACTCGTTAAATACTGGAGTTAGAAGAAAAATGCATAGAACCTCTCTTGTAAAGGACGTCAGTGCCTATAACTTCTGTATAAAAAATTTTTCGCCAGCGTCAATAATTAATTGGATATTTCCTTCTATGCTTTTTAGCACGTAGTTATTTATTATTAGCATTGTTCTTCTGACATCTGATTTCTTTTTAATCATAGGAAATGCGTTTTTCTAATGTACATAAACTTTTGGGATTGAATGTATAGCCAATACAGCCCTACGGCTGACGAAAAGTAAATGAATCTTTTTCATTGCACGATAATAAAAACGTTGAATCTATGCAGATAAAATGTGTTTATGCGAATGCCGTATGTCAGAGGATGAACAAGAGTTCAGGCGGTCAGCTACATTATTACAGAATTGCTCATTTATACCGGAAGTCGAGTTCGCTAATAATCACCGTCCTACGCCCCGTCGCATCAGTAGGCGTCATTCAGTGACTTGAGTCACTGGTACCAAGTATTTACAATGCACATACGTACGAGGAAAGTACATATGAGCCACGGTGCATTGGCCGCGCAGAAATGAATCATTACGTCCACGGTCCACGCGAGTCAATCGCTTCGCACGAATCCAATTCAAAACTTGGCTTGCGCATCGCTCGTGAACCATTTAAATAGAACTTATTTCATACAACAACGCGTTGAAATCATTCAGTCGCGTGAGATGATTCAACGTTCCTCGGCTATCGCAATTAATTCTAGAACATTAAGATGCTCGCTTGCAAATCGAGGTAGCGATTATGGTATTTTATTATCTCATTGGAAATAGTGAAAGGGCCATTCCAAGAGATTCCAAGTATTAGGTTTGACATTGAACCAGTTAAATGTCCAACGTTAATAGAAATCAGTAGCTATCTAGATTTCGTAACAACTAATTTCCAATTTTGTGGAAGTTCGGGAACGATCATTTACTGTTTCGCAAGTCGGATTAGAGACACGGGGCTACGCAATGGATTAGAGATTAAAAGCGATCGAAGACAGCATTTGAGGAGTGTCATAACTTCGGTATTCTACGAATTTCAATTGGAATATCTTAACTAACGAAATGAATGGTAAGTAGATGTAAATGATATAATAAAGTTAGGAAAGGGACCAAGTGTCACGTGCTATCACGAATCGTAAATGAGTCAAGTTGATTATATACTCGACTTCTTCGCAACTTTCAACGATCAGATCATCGACATCGATCACTTCTTTTGAACTTGACGATCCGATCTCGTGGTCATTACGCCGTTACGTCGGCTTACAGCTATGTTTCATAATCTACGGTCACGCAACGAATTTTAAACGCGTTTACGCCAAGTAAAAGATATTCAACCTGCCGACATCGCGTGACGAGTGACGAATTACGTATCTCAATTGAATAATTCCAATCTTATACATATTACACTCGTTTCATTTACAGTCCGAAAGGCTGATTCGAAGAAATAAACGTAATCGGTGAATAAATTAGGAGAAGCGTCGAAGGGGTTACCGTTTCAATGCCAATACACCCATCGACCTTAAAACTGTTTCCTCTCGTTAATCAGTGAGAGAAGCGAATGGTAAAAGGAGACGCTAGCAAAACAGAGGCGGGCAGGTGTACAGTGGCGAGGTGCATGCAATATGCACCGTGCAAGATTCTAGGGAAGATACCTCGGGGTCATGGGTGCTCCAGGGAAATGTCACGGCAATGATAGAAACTTCGAACAGCCGCGTTCGATCACCTTTCAAAATGATTTTTTCGATCGCACAAATATGTATCGCGCGACCCGGAGGACGGGCGGGTGGCCTAATTTCTCGACTGCGGCCGTCCTTTAAACGGATTTTATTGTCAGACGGTACGTCTAACGTTGACGAAACCTAATTCTACATTCCGTGCTCGCGTTACGTGCGTGAACAGTTCAAGTATAATACTTTCTATTTGCGACGAATTCTTCCGTTCTAAAGCTGTGAGTCACAGCTGTTGTTATCGGGCATTCGTAAGAATCACGCGAACGAAATGGAATTAAAAAGTCAACGTGACGAATTATCGTGTGGTAAAAAAAGTGTTTAATAATTGTGTTAAGTCTCCGTTAAGGTGCGACTAATTAAAATTTTACTCACCGGTATCTGCACGAAAGTGCCATTGTTCAGTTGAGGATAAGAGTAGAGCGGTACTACAGGGACCGAACCATTTTTCACGAAAATCGGTCCTTGGATGGGCGTTACGTGAGCGTCCCTCGGTATCTCCGAATCTTTGTCGTCGTAGTAATCGTCGAAGTCATCGTCGTAGTCTAAAACAGCGTGAATCGAAGTTTTGGTACCAGGTCCACTTTCACCGTGTACTCTCGTGTACCTTTAACAAACAAAAAGATCTAAGTAACGTAAGATTTGACGGTGGGAGCAATGAAGGATAGCGGCATGTACGACCATAATCTGGGGAACGCGACGATCGATGAGACGCTTGGCGTCTACGAGACAAGTAGGAACGAAAGAGGTCTTCGTCAGGAATTGATTCGGTATGCGCGGCACGCAACGAGAAAACGTATGACCGATCGTTACATAAATAATTACCAGCTGTAATTAACGTTACCGTATAAAGCACTTTCGCTGGCTCAATAAGAAACGGTTCTTTGAACTGAAAATATCGCTTCGGTAGATCGTCCATCGATTGCGATCTAATTACTCTCATTGTTAGTAATTGCATACGTTTTCACAACGGATTCTTTTTATCATTCTTAATTCTAAGATAAGTGTAATTAATAATAATAAGAAACTGGAGTTATTTTAATTACCCGTTAGGTCTGTCAGGATAACTTTCCTCTTCTGGTGCTCTCTGCGTCCTGTAATTATCGCTATCATCAGTTTCCACTTGAATCCTTTGCTGTTGTTGCTGTTGTTGTTGTTGCTGCTGCTGCTGCTGCTGCTGCTGCTGCTCGTGCTGTGGCAAAGGCGGGGGTGGTCTCATTTGCTGTTGCTGCTGTCTCGGTTGCGTCCTCCGGAAATCTTGATTATAATTCGAATAACGCGCATCTTGTGAGGAAAAGGACGAATGTTCGACATAGTTCGGCGTTCTTTGCCGATTGTATGTCGTCGTCTGGCGTTGTCTCTGTTGCTGATAGCCGGGAGGTGGTATGTACGGCTCGTTTTGGTACGATTCCTGCTCGTTGAAATTTGGAGCTGGAGCAGGCGGAAGCACGGCGTTCAGACGAAGGTTGTTCACTACCTGTCCTCCGTTCTGCTCGTAGAAGAACGGTGTAGGCGTCGCCGAATGATACGGCAGGCTATAGTTGACCAGTGACATTTTTCACACTCTTACTTCTTTCTGTAAATCGATGAATTTCCTTTCGTACAAATCTTTTTTAAACGTATCGAATTTTGTTGGAAACCATTGGAACTTATTTCGTACGCCGAAGAAGAGTACGATAAATATATTTCCAAATATAAAAATAATATTTTTCTTGTTTTTAAATAAGAAAAAATGTGATTGTTCGATATAAAATGGTGGTTATATGTAATTTTGACTCACCGTAATGTTAGTGGCAGCGTATGTGGAAACACGCCCTTCAAAGGTGAACTTTCTGGTCGAAACTTTCAGCTCGGGCGATCGTGATCTTGATCGTGTATAAAATCACGTCTTATTAACATAAACTTCATGATCAACCAGTGAACCCGGATTTTGGAACCCTTTTGCCAAACGCTTAAATATGTATCTCTGCTGTAGAATCGTAATATGACTCGCGATTTATTTATTTTTCTGTTAATTTCGTATCGCGTTTCTCAAGTGCATTTCAATTTGTTTGACGCGTTCTCTTCCGCTTCTTAAAACGGGGCAACATGATCGACGCGCGGGGCATCCATCGATTGTATTTCGAGTTTAAACTTTTATAGATAGATACGGTCAAGATTACTCGAAGATTAATGACTTCTTCCTTTCCTTTTCATTTCCTGCGTATGGTATTCTCATCGCTTTGCTCTTAGATCAACCTAAAATGATAAAGGAAAATCGATATTTCGCGAGTTGCATCACAGACATTAATCATTGCGTAAACGAACTTCTATGAATATCGTCGTGTAATTTACTTCATGCAAAAGTCCAATGAGATCGTGCCAGTTTCCAATTTACTCTTGTGCCTGCCCTTAAAATATTTCTGAACGATTGCTAGTTGAGGATGGACGAAAGATAGTAAAAATGTGCGGTTGTCGTCTTTACGAAAGAGGATGATTATGCGAACGTGTGGGCGCGTGCGTGGCCACGCAGTTGTTAATACGAGAATGAGATTTGCGCGCGTGGACCACGTGTCATCCGGCGACTAACGAGAACAAGCGGGTACCGAATCGATCAAAATTCTGTGACCGAGCAAGTTTCGACCGTCACTTTCGCCGAATCGCTTTCTTCGAAATCCAGTATGCAAAGCTTGCTTTCACCAAAAATGAATCAGGTTCCCACGATTAAAACGAACGCTTTTGCTTTTCATTCAGCAGCTCGAACCTGGCTAGAAGTGTCGGACACTTTCTGCGTTGGCAATTGATCGAATAGGTAGTATCTACATTGGCAATTAATTATAGTTATGACGCAATTACGGAAAAAACTAGTGGCAGTTAAATATATTTGCCAAAATATTCCATCACTTCGATTTCGCTTCTGTAGTTTTATAATCAATATCGTCAGATGAACGGATTTAATTGCTAAATACGTAGAAATCGATTGGAGCCTTACCTGACGATCATTTGGGATTTTCCACACTTCTAAAGTCCAAAGTGCTCAACGAACTTACAGCATATTCAACACGCGCCGTGCAAATTTTCCGTCGCTTTCACTTTCTTTATCAAACGATTTTCGATCGACGACAAATGACGAACTTAAAAACGAAAGGAGGAAGCAAACGCGATCGGGCTCTGAATTAAATTGTAGAGACGAACGATTACGCGGTGTGTGACACGTGGTCGCTCGCGAAGCTCGCGGCTCTTCGAAATCGGCGAGAAGCGCGTGTGACGCGAAACGCTACATTGGCGAGGAACAACTGAAAGAGAATCGTTTTAACTTGAAGCGAGTCTGCACGGAACGGGGATAAAAGAGAGGTGTTCCTCGATCATGAAGAGTAGCAAGTCCTCTCTCACTTTGTCCCTCTCTTTTCTCCGTGTCCCAGTGTCGACTCCCTACCTTCGATTCCGATACGTCGCGACGCGTCGCGTTGCTTCACCTCCTCTTGCAAGATCAGTGGAGCATCCAACGAGATAGATAAAAACCATCCGTCAACTCGTAATGTAGATACATTCGTTTAGTTTCGTGCGTTATAAACATAATTTAAAAGTTATGACACAGGTCATCAAGCGTCAGTGACATAATATCATGATCTACCGAAACGAATGCGAATGTCCCCGAATCTTTGTAATTTTATACTGGACCGGTAAATTGATATTATACGAGAGAAAGTATTATATAAAAAATTGCATTTAACAAAGACCATTCTTTATATAGAAATTGCAGTATTATGCAGTAATATTTACTAACACGAGTGAGCGGTTTAAGTATTTGTTTCAATTACAATTGCATTTTAATTTCGATTAGATTCGTATCACTGAAATAGCCAGTTGTAAGATGAATCGAGGAACGCGAAACAATAGGTGAATCGGTTATTAGAAATCGCAGAAACAATTATCGCCAATTATACCGGTATTCATTATTACTCGGTACGAAGCGTTATTTGAATTACATTGTTGGCGGCGAGCTGGTTAAAAGCAATCTGTTTGAAAGCGTCGGCCCATTTCCACCTAAGTACAATACCGGCGTAACGACTTTCTCACGTGCACCTATCTCGCAATTCGGTCTCTCACGGGTTGGTGCGAGACGAGCAAAGATCAGCCGGACCCCGGATGAAAGAAAAGAAAGAACGGTAAAGGCTAGCCCAGTGTACTATTATTATACACACTCCCTTTTCATTAGAACGACTGCATGAAAAGAACGTTTGTCAGATCTTTTCCTAGCCGGTAAGCATCTACTGGGAAGTGTCCCAGTACCTGTGAACACTTATCACGTGTCCGCGGTTCATCTCGTCTTTTTTCATCTTCTTCTCTCCTCTTTCGAGAGACATTTTTATCCCATCCAAGTGCCTTCTCCGCTCGGATAGATGCACGGCCTGGCTGCTCCAGAACCTTTCATTTCTCTGCACGTGGAACGTAACTGTATCAGAATCCACCGGAGGCCCACCTACGTTCACCTTCTGCGTCGTCCAGCACGCCGATACTTAATAGTTTTAGCTGGCAATTTCAAGAAATTGTGCACATGTTTCATCGTTATTTGCACACTTTAAATATTTGAAGATGTTTCAACTATCCTGCGGTATTTCCAATGACTAGAGACTCTGATTCAAGCATGACTCTACTAACGATTCGTCAAAATCTATTTATTCCTTTTAGCAAATTCAGTTTACGTCGCGTTACCGGACCATGCGTAACATGGTATATAATCGTGACTGGAAAATATGAAACTTCTAAAGAAGTACAATGAACAGATTACATAACAATGTCTCGACATCCTGGATGTCGCAAGAAACCAGGATGTGATCTAGAATCGATTGACTAAATTAATGAGTTCGGGTACACCGGAGAGCTGCACGGTGACCGTCTTTGGTTTTATTTTGAGGAAGTTCAGTTTGCGTGTCGAATCGCAGAATCGACTTGGTTGTCACGTACGCCGTAAAAGAAAGGCCGATGGATATTGGCCCCGATCGGTGACCAAACGACTTCCGGCCAATTGTGCTCCACCCACTCTGCAAGGACTTTACCCGCCTCGGGCGTATTTGGTGCAAAAACATGCATACGCAAAAAAGTACATAAGAATATTGTTTGTACGATCGTTCAATGTTTAATTAAACATAAATAAATTGTAATTATTTCCAACTTTTGTATGACCAGACCCTAATTGGAGTAACATTGCTTAATCATGAGTTCGTCAGTCCTTGGAGAACACGAAGTACTTTAGATTTTGTAACGAAAAGGGTGATAAGGAGCTAAAGAGTAAACATGATTCCGTATTGCGCGTATGCCATAGATTTGACCCCCTTTCATTGTCAGTCTTTTCTTCGGGTTCACTGGCGTGTGTCGATTCACGCGGCATGCACGTTCCTGATTCTGACGTTTCGATGCACTTGACGCATACCACATTTACGATCGTGCTTTATTACGTATTGTTCGTCTTTCAGAATATGTACTGCGACTACATTTTTGCCAAGAGACAAAAATGTTTTTCTTTTTGTACGCGGCTGGGATCAACGACCTAGAACCTTGATTTTCCCACTCCCAAATGTTCTCCGATAGAACGATAACTAAGCCGATCTATTTTGTTACGTATAACGAAATCTAATTATTGGCCGTTCACTATAATTCTGTTTACATTTTCGCACGCTCTGAATTGACCATAAATGCATAAACGCGATCGTTAGACGCGGCGCGCGGCGTAACCCTGCAGAAAAGGGGACCAGACCAGATGCCTGGTGTGCAAAGGCCCGTGGATACATGCCTAGGTTCCTTGTGCAATCAACAATGAACAACGAGTTGCAAACAGTTGCGATCTAACCGTAGTACGAGGGACACGTGCAGGCACCTTTCCTTACCCTTGGTAGAAGGAAGCCTCTGAACAAGATAGAGAATTATTGCGACCACTTTCCATCCTGCATGAACGTATAATACCCGCGTGTGGTGACGGGTTCAATTCTGGAAAATTTACATAATAACCATTTTGAAGTACTCCAGCTTTTCGTTTTATTCATTCGACCTTTATGAGCATGTTTCATTTCTTCTATCCTAATTTTCTGTAAAAATATTAAACGGCCTTGAAACATTTTCCCATGTTCGTCGATGTTCTTTTCTTTCGCCTCAGAGAAATGAAAACCCGAAGACGGTGAACAAAATCATTGATCATAAAAGCGAGAACGTAATTCAAGTAGCGAAGTGAGAAATGTGAACGCGCGAGTGGATGCTATAAATCTTGGATTTTCCTATCTTAATACAATTAACTGGTTCGTTAAGGATTATGAATGCAGCCGGAACCGGGGCCCCATTAAAAAAAAGAAGGGGCGCGCACGTGGCGCGTACGGGGAGATTTCGTAATTTTCTCGGTTACACATTGCACTTGCACGACAATTCCGTGATTCACGCATGCCTATGCACGCGTAACGGTAGCGATAAATTATTATTCCACTACGGATCTTTTATCATCCTTTCCTAACTGATGTTAACGAGTTCGTGAGAAGTTTTCCAACGCCGTGCAACGACAATCAATTCCCTCGTTAGCTGAGAAATTCTCGTTTAACGGAGTAATTATTAACGACCGACTTCTGTTCAGTCACGATCGATACACTCCATATATTTCATCTTTTAGAAAACGATACGATAACTTTTTAAATCGTAAGCTTTGCCAAAGGGTTGAGAACATGTAATAGGCCGTCAGCATTAACATGTGTGTCTCTATTTACTCTTGTTTTCTATTTATAGTATACATATATAAATGGTTCAATTGTTTTTTTTTGTTTATTTCAAACCGATCGGAATTCGAAGGTGACACGCAAAGGACCAACGCCCACATACTTCAAGTATCGTTCCGACCATCGATCATAATGAATTAACAATTCTGACGCAAGAGGTTCGTGCTTCTCTTTTGCTGTAACAAATGCCTCTGTCCGGGAAGTGTCCACTGAATTTCAATGGTCGCTCGATATCCTCTATGTACGTCTTGTTATATAAAGATTTGGAACGATAAAAGAGAACAACATCCTCGATGAGGGGTTAAAACATTGTTCGGACAAAGTATTTTCGTATCCGAGTGCGTTCGGCCATGAGAACCACACCCGTGGTACTTGAATATCCGTGGTACCAAGATAAATCCCCCTGTAACTGTGCACTACACTCCGTTACGGGGAACACAATACCGTTTGCGTCGTTCTTCGAGCATTTTACAGCATCCTGTGACAACGCGAAATAGGCATTTGCCGTTTTACATTAACAGAAACGGCGTCGGTGTAAAACCTGAAGACGATCACCATAACGAATCGTGTGCATAATTTTCGTTCACGTGCGAATTCGCGATAAGTCGAAAGACGAAATGTCAGGCCACACCCAAAATCACTTACGCTCGCTACTTATTTGTTTTTTTATTCGAATTTTTATTGTAATGGAAGAGAATCTGGTGTCTCGTAGGAAATACATTGTCGCTTTATTTTCGCGTGCGAAATTCTTATTCAAATTTGATTTCCTCTTTTATTCCAATGGGACTTTGCGTATAACCGTTCCTTTTGTTATACGACAGACTGGCCGTTAAGCGTAGTAACGTAATACAGATGTTAGGACCATTGTAACACCAAAGTGATAGCAGTTGGCCTTCGTTTATGGGGGAGTGATCAACTTTTCCTAAATGGTTGTCGATTGTCAAGACATTTACTATTGCAAAATTGTCTCACGGGTTAGTAGAACATAAATTTGAAAGCGGAATTCAGATTTATCCTCTTTATTATTCACACTTTCGTAGTACAGTAAAAAATGTATCGCCTAGCAATTATAAGTCCTAAGTACTTCGTACGAGTGTCTCGTTACTATTGCGTCGAACGTGCAATCATGAATACTGTTTAAATTTCTCTCACGCTAAATGTGTTCCATATAAAAATTGATTTTTCAGACGTTTTATATACATGCACTGAGCTTACGATCATACCTGTAATCGATCTCATTGAACCGCAATTAAATCTTTAAATTCCAACTCTTGGAACGAATTAAAAAGATGGAAGATTTTTATACAGTGTTTTTATTAAACAAAGAAAGTATATTTGGCAAGTTTGTTCTCGAGGCTGCTGTAATTAAAGAAATTGACCCAACATGTTTCATTAATATTAGGCGCAGACATGTCTTCGACATTTTATCTACGAATTAATTTCTAACGATCAAGGATATGTGTATTACGTGTTGAATATTCATTACAAGTTTCAATATTATGTTTTAAAAACCGAATTAATACTGGCTAATAATATGTGTATCCATTTGTTCGAACAATACGAGTCAACCCAATTATCCTGTCCAACATGTAAATCGTATAAAACTATTTTCAACAATCGTCGTTTAAATAACCGCTACCTTATTTACAATAATCAATAATTAAAATCAAACTACTTACCAACATATTTAGCCGCAGCTCGTGACATAGAATTCGAAATATTTCGTTAAACTAATTAATGATAATCTTAACATTTTTCTAATTATTTTCGTCTTTCCGAAAGAATGCATTTGTGCTCTCAGAAGCTTCGTATTACTAGAATTGAAAAAATATGACAAAAGCATTCTCTCTTTGGCTCAGCAACGATGCTCAAAATGAGGTACATACATATACGAAATTGAATTATAAAAATTACAATTTCTATACAATTCTTATGCTCTTATAATCCTATCTATATTGTATATAGAACACACAATTTCTCTCGGAAATTATTCTGCGATAAAATTTGATTGAATCAGAACCGAATCCAAATTAACTTCGAGTGTTCTTTGTATATCAAGTGTATCATGAACCCCTTGGTCTACGCGCTCTCTCGCTTGCGCGGGCCATAGTAAACAAGAAGGTCGGTCGATTTCTTATTCCTTACCACGAGTTTGATTCGTAGTTTTCGTTTATGGCACAAATTCGTCACCATGAGTCTCACTCGTGGTTGTAGGCCAAAGGGTTAATGAAATAAAACTTTGATTATTGCTACACGTAATCTATCTGACATTTCCAAGTGGAATTAAAATTTTATTGTCAATAGTTAAACCTTTTTTTCAAGTTGCAATGAATACTAATACCAAAATTCACGTGTAAATCGCTAATTATAAAATTGTACTCTCATCTAAGGGGAAAGTCCATTAAAAAAAGAATGGCAATAAATCATGGAAATCAAATATAAAAGTATTATTATATCGAAATTAAGTATCATCACTATCACTGTCTTGTTGTTCTCGAGATTCCTCCTCCATCGGCGGAACAGCGTCAACGTTCCTATCGAAGTAGTGAACGTTCCAAGGTGGGAACCACCTGTTCACGAACCAATGCACAGACAATCTACCATGATTGCATTCGGCCCTTTCGCATCTACCAAGAAATTGGCAAATGCCAGCCACGCTTCCGCTCTGATTTCTGATGCAGGAATCGTCGCACGTGTGCTGACGCTCCGACCGATTAACGGAGCAAACGGGATAAGAAGTGGAAGGGTTTTGCGAAGGGAAGATCGGCCTCGTCGACGTGCCAGGCTCGTTGCTCGAGGCTGATGCCGACGTATTCGACGTCGAGGCTGTCGCCTCTACGGATACGTTGGCACCGCTACTTGCGTTCCTCAGAGTCGAGACGGAAGGTCTGGCAATGTGGACCGTAGCGTAAAGAGGATTGTTAACCGATGGGCTACCTCTACTGATCCAGTCAAGGTATTTACTGAATTGAGCGGCGGAATTGCAATTCGGTAGGACCTTGCCTCTGCAAGAACAATTGTTAGGGTTTCTACAGTGGCAAGACGTAACAGGCAGTTTCACGTGGGAATATTCGCCACGGCAGAAGGGGCATCTGCAGTTCCTTGGCAACTGGTATATGTAATGTCTCGAATTACTTGAAAAAGCGTCCTGATAACGCAATCTGTTATGTAGATTATGACAATGATGACACAAATATCTTGTGTCCAAGTGTTTGCAGAACGAACACACGCAGTTGTAACCGAGCGGATAAACGGCACGTCCGGTCGACGCGTAAGCAATGTTCTCGGTTGAAAAACAATTGCGCCCTAATCTACCTAGTCTATTCTGACAGAATTGATTGGTCAATCGCGAGGAGTCTAGATAAAATTGTCGCGGTTGATCATATTGATTTCTAGATTCCATGTCGTTTAAAAAACTTGGGATATAGTGGTTCAGGATATGATACTTGTAGCAACGGGAGTAATTTCGATTGGCGCAGGAATATCGATCATCTATCCTCTCGTACATGTGATCATCCATGTTACGTTGATTATTCTGCCCAGCAGCTTCATTGTGAGCAGCTTCGTTGTTATTTTCAACACGTTCATCGTCGTCGTCGTCGTCATTGTCCAACCTCTCGTAAATATTCTCTTCCGGTTCTTGCGGTTGCCTATTGCGATTGAAATTGTGGACCAGGTCTACAGGGTTCTGATAATTAGGATTTAGATTCGGGTGTACTTGCACCGAGCCAGGTCGATTTTGGAAACCCCGCGAGCCACGACCCACGTTTTGATAACTATTATCATCTTGATTGTTCCTGTTTTGATTCATCACCGCAGCTGCCACTTCACCGTTCTCGTACCTCTGGCAAACGCAACGCGATCCCTGGCAATTGTGACCACCCGCCGCGCCACGATATTGTTGAAGCACGTTCTGCTCCGGATTCTGGACTTGCACACCGCTGGGCCCGGCTTCCCGTGATTGATCCGACGTTTCGGCACTCGGGTCCGTACTCTGGTCCGTCGCATGCCCAGCGGATTGTAATCCTCACATCGACGTCGTCGACGGCATCGGCTTGTCGATTATAGCGACTCCCGCGTAACTGCGACCGATCCCCATGCAAGTCGGCAGGGTTGTCCAAGTGTCGTTCCTCGGGGAATACACCTCGACGGACGCTAGACTCGACGAACCATCATCGCCGCCCACCACGTACAACAGACCGTTCAGTGCAACGACACCAGCATTTCTACGACAGAGGGTCATGTCGCTAACTGGAGTCCATTGATTAGTATCCGGATTAAAAGCTTCCACGCTTTTCCTGACCAGAGGACCGTCGTGTCCTCCTACAGCGTATAAAATCCCGTCTAAAACACCGACACCGGCGCCGCTGCGACGAGCAGTCATGTCGGGCACTGGTTTCCATTGATCTTTCTCTGGATTATAACACTCCACGCTGGAGAGACATTGTCTGGATACTCCGTCGTAACCGCCGACAGCGTATAGTAATCCCTTGACTACACCCACGCCTACGCTACTTCTACGCGTCGACATCGGTGCGATCATTCTCCATTCGTGAGTTCTTGGATCATACACTTCGGCGGAATTTAGACCAGTCGATCCGTCAAACCCACCGACCTGTTTATCAAGCAATTGAATGATACAATGCAATGGAAAAACTCCGGAAAATTCAAAAGAAAACAGAAAATGCTTACGGCATAAATGCAGTTTCCAAGAACTGCTACGCCGAGCGTCGATCTTCTAGCTTCCATTTCAGGGCAAGGTGACCACTGATCCGTAGCAGCGTCATAAATATCTACAGTTCGTACTCTGAGAGATCCATTAAATCCTCCAACGGCGTACACGCGACCACCAAGGACGGACAAGCCTACAAGTCACAAATTACGTCATAGTTCACGAAAATCATCGTACACTCGAATAGTTCCCAAGTCTAACAATTATTTACCAGCTCTGCAGCGACGAGTCGGTAACTCGGAGACCTGATACCACTTCTCTTCTTTAAAATCGTAACATTCCACGCTTCTAATCGCTTTTGGAGCTTGTCCCCCTACAACTAATAAAACTTTTGGCAAGCCTCTCGGTTGCCTGGGTTTCGTACGAGGAGTTTTAAACAACGATTTTTGTTCTCCCTTCAGCAAATGATACTTCAAAGCCTCGATCAAAAAGTCCTTACCTGCGTAAAATAAATACAGGTACGTGTTAAGGATTTCTTCAACGTGAACGATATCATTACGATATTGTTATTTACATTGTAAATTCGCCTTGAGAAGTGGCTCCTCTTCTACCCGTTGCATTAGATACTCTTGAGATAACAAAGGTAAACGTACATGTTCCATTAATTGTGCTAAATGAGCTTGTCTCTTATCCAAGTCATGATGCACCCACGATATAACGCATTCGAACACCTTTTCTTCCGACAGTACCATTAAACAATCGCTACAAATCAGTTTGGCTACTTGCTGCGGGGCTAATGTTAAAAATTCTTCACCGTCCACTACTTCCCTGTAGCACGAAAGACATGTAAATAATGCTGAAGAGTACTTGAAGGAACAAAGGAAAAATATATTTCGAAAGCTTACGAAAAATGTTGTTCAATATAACTATCCGCATGCGATAACAATTCTAGACAACTGTGAAGATCGGCGAACGCGCGAATTCCTAAACAATTCGACGGATGCAGTTGGGCTTGTAAAAAGTCGCAGCACGCATCGCGGACGTCCGTTAATTGCAAAAGATTTGCAGCTGGTAATAGCACCTGCACATTGTCCTCGGTGACATGAACTTCTGCGGAGTATACGTATTCCACTAACAGTTCGAGAGCAGAATAATCTACACCTTGCAAAGTTATCCTCTCTTGATCTCTTTCCTCAAAACTTGTGAACATAGCATAAAAATAAGGACTGCAAGCAGCAAGGACCATTTTATGAGCAGGTACTTCTAAGCCTCCATCTGCTACCAAAATCACGTCACATAATAAATTTTTCCTATTGAATAATCATTGAATTAATTTCTCGTTTATATTGCATGGGTTTGATATGAAAGTAATTCAAAAGACCTAAAACGAGACCCAACGTACTTCTCCCTCTTTTAGGCCTTTACCGTATATTTTTTAACAAGTATACAATAGAATAAAAATAATGAAAATATCGTACTTTCTCATCTCATTGATAACATCGAATGCCCGATTTGTATGGTGATGATTTCTGTACGGTGGTTTATCCTTTCCACTTTCACGGGGTATGTGCTTCTGTGAACTCTCGTCCAAAGAATTTTGACTAGCATACCGAAGCAACAAGCAGCTAGAAGAAAAAACAAGCGTTATCAGTCTAAGAAAGTAAAAATGATAAATATCGGCCGATGCTTCACTAACGTTACACAAATTCGAGTGACATGTAAAATCTATCACAGACTAAACGAGGAATAATATTACCTTCCCTTGTTTTCAGCACCATCGGTGTTGGAGGCACTTTGCACCTGGTTCTGACCTGGCTCCATTTTAATTCTCTTTCCTTTTAACAGAACCGTAGAATACGAATCGCTTTAATTAAAAAAAATTCCGGTTCGTTTGGGTAAACATCGATTCGGCGAATCGAATGATCATCGTCCCGCGTGGAATCAGCTGTGAAACGACGCTACTGATTTTGCGTTATCGATACGTAGTGTCAGACAGTATCAGCCGCGTGATCGTAAGGCTCGATTAAACAGGATGAACGACGCGGAATGAAAAACGTAACAATTCCGATAACGATGTCCCAATAAGCGATACATACACTAGCTAACTAAACTTTCTGTTTCGGTTCTTTAAACGTCATTTAACACACCCGTAGACCCCTGCTCATGAGATCCATATCCATAGGATCATTAAAGTAAATGAAAGCTTTCACGCCTAGGATATCGTGATTCTCATTCCTATCGAGTGCTGCACCAAGGGGCTAATTCTGGGAAGGATTATGTTATGGTAGATTCCTACTAAATAGGTTCTTGTACATGCTAAGGTCTTCTTCAGAATTGGCCTCTTGGTGCAGCACTTTACGGGAATCCTGAAATCCCGTGAGGTCGTGAACACTCTCGTTCCTTCGATTTCCTCTGTGCTGCATCGTTGCAACTTGCATTTGCAGCTGTTCGGTGCGTGTGGTGGATTCGATGCTTTTCAAGTTCGGGGGGGTATTGTTTATATTGGCGGGTAAAAGAACATTTATTCAATTGACGATATTATCTGATTGATAGTGATAGTGATAATAAATAATTTTCTTGACAGTAAGTATCTCAAATTATATTAGACTAAAAAATTCTTGAAACATCAAACATTTAATAGAAATGCAAAATACAAGAATCTTAAGACTATACAAGGGTACATTGAACGAACTATGTAATTGTAATATTAAATTGAAATTATGAATCAATTGTTATTGACAATATTTGTACTCTGTTTCTATCAGCTTATGATTTAACCAGCTCGGACTTCATCAATGGAAAATAAAGAGAAGTTAGAATGGAAGAGGCCGGAGGAAGTGATGCAGTTGCATCGTTTAAAAATGAGAAAACGTGCGCTTCAGGCACGTATCAACAACGTACGTTTAAACTCGACCACCGCAGAGATTTCGGAGAAATCCAGTCCTGTCCCTGGCCTCTTTGTGTCTCAAAAACGTAAAAATCCTTTCGTTAAGGACGAGGCAAATAAGAAACCAAATATAACACCTCCAGACTTAGAAGTTAGCAATGACAGTACTTTGTTCGAATTATTGAAAATCGATCCGCCAAAGGTGGCAGAAGCAGAAACTTCTTTTGAAAATTGTCCTTTAACATTCAGTAATGCATTTCTAAGACCAGACAAAATCAAGGATATGGTAGAATTAGAAACAGTGAAAGGCGAGAAGTACATTCCAATCGATTGGACTCTGAAAAGTAAGATGAGATTCATGTCTCCAAAACCATTTCCGTGGAATTGTAAATTAAGGACTAGTGAAGAGGCATCGGGTACAACCGGTTTTGTAAGATGTTTGAATATCAGCGAGCAAGATTCAACTTTAGATACTAGCCCGAATGCAAGGTGCTTTTTATGCTTTATTCAATTATTTCATTTATCGTTATCTTGTCTGTATTATTAATGTATCGACTTTTCCACAGACTGCACAGATGTTGTTTAATATGGCAACATCCCTCTATACCCTGGCTAGACCTATTCCCTCGCTCTGCTGGCAAAGTGAGTGCAACTTTAGTGAACAATTCGATCATAACGAATAACACAGCGATCAAAGAAGCTTTGTACAAAGAATGGTGCGAAAGTTTTCGATCACTGTTCAATTTGCTAAGAGCACGACAGTGCCCATATTTTTACGTTTGCGCAAACAATTTCACCGTATTGTTCCGTGCCGCTGGGATTTGCGGAGTTTCAGAAGCTCACGCGCTTCTAACGCCTACGACCCGTGGTTTTCGACAGCTTCTGAATCAAGAAGGTTCGGTGAAAGTTGAACGGTGGTGGAACATTGAACAAGAAATTAAATGATAATTAAAAAATTACAATCGTAGAAATCGAGTACACGATGCCTTTAAGAAAAGATAATAGACGACGATCGGATGGAACCGATTCCGGATGTGACACGTTGGATTCGACCACAACGAATACCGCGTCGTACAAGGAACATGAAAATATCGATGACGAGGAAGTCGAAACGCAAGACGAATGGCTGCAAAGTCTTGGAGTCGAAAATGCAGAGATTCGTAAAATCAATAGTTCTCAGGTAATTACAAAACACGCTTTGCTTTCTTATTCACAACTTATACCTCAATCTGTTCCATTATAGGCGAGAATAACTTTGGAGAAACAAACTGACATAGACAATTTGAAGCAGTCTCTCGTTTTTGTAAAGGGCGTGGAGGCACAAGCATTATTTAATTTCTTAATTAACTGTAAATCTGCCATCACGACCAACGGCCCGTTAGCGGGAGTGCCTCCTACATTGTTGGCTCCAGTGGCATTTCACGGTGCAATGTTAAGGCCAATCAAGGTGCGATAAATCATTTGCTGCTCTAACACTTTACAGTGACACATTTATAATGATTATAATGAATTTTTCTTAAAGGTCAGAGAAAGCGTAGTACGCGTCGACAACGAAAGATTCTTTTCTTTGGAATTAAAAGGACCTCTTTTACCACACGTCCTACCTTCTCTTTGTTCCTTGATGAAATCTAGTCAGATGGAGAAGTACTCCGCGAGTTGCGCTCGGTTGGATTCTACAACTTCATTCTCGGATGTTAAACACGAAATCGGTAGGCTACTTTTTCTTATAAGAACTGTTCCCGTTGCATTTATATACCGTCTCACCGATCGTATCTTTTCAGATCAAAAAGAATCGAGCAACGTTTTAAAAATTTCGGAGAACGTTTTCGGCAAGGAAAATTTAAGCGACTGTGGCTTCACCAACGAATTAGTTAAATACTTTTGTAATCCCGATTCAACTCGTATCGAAGTAATAGAGAACATCAAATATTCAAATAATTTGTATACGTGGTCGTGACAAATAATCGCATTAATGTTATTAGTTGTAAAACGATTTAATTAAGTATGCTTTAAATTAATTCGGGCAGCTGCGTGTTTGTAAATAAATATAATCAGAACGGTAATACGAATTACCCTTTATTAGTTAATATGTATAGTATAACTTGATCGGTTGACCGTAGAGCTGAGCTACGTATTTATATATTTTTAACGATCTAACAAATACCTATTAAGTGGCAAATCTTTGTGTTTATATTGATCATGAATAATAGCAAGTTGTGCTGCGCAATGTAAATTGTTACATGGTACATATACCATTAGCGATAACTCGAACGTATACGCAGTTTATAACAAATGGTTTATAAGATTTATAAGAAAATTCGAATAAATTATATATGTATACACTGTACGTGTACTTGTTGCATTTCACTTAATCTCTCCCTTATTTTCGACAATATTTAACGAAAGCGTTGCACTTTTGAAATTGTACTAATAATAATTTACCGGAGGCGAGTTTTCGAGCGGGGGCGCGACGAAGGTGGGGTTCGCGGACGGGCTACCCCTAAAAATAACGAATCGATATTCGCTAGCTGCCCCCGAATTGGTCGCCCGGTCACCTCGAGCGCGAACAATCAATTTATTGTAATAAGCCGTCCGTTCCAATAGCTTTTTTTTTTTAGAAAAATAAACCTTGCTACCGAAGATAGTTCATTCCTCGATCGAGCATTCGGAATTTGATTAAAGTAGAAATCATTCCAGCCGGATAAAAGACTTAGAAAGCGGCTAGATACTTTTTGAAATTTTATTTGCCGTGTAAGTACGAACGGAACGTGGATTTATTACAGACTTACAATTTACCTGTTTACGCGTATGCGCGCGTGAACGCAAGCAACACGTATACGTCTAAACGTAGCCGTGCGACGATGACGATTACGTCAGTGCCCGTTGCAGTCTGTGCTCACTGCTCATCGTATTGCGACACTCGTCAACGTGCGGTCTCATGTTCCAAGGTCTCTTATGCGAATTCATTTTTCAAATCGAACAATGCACTGGCTATATTGCCCCGGGGAGTCTCTCTAGGTAAGCGACACGGGAAACTCGTTTCGACTGCCGTTTCAAAATTACTTTATACTTCTCGAGGGTGGAATTCTTTATCCTTTAATCCTAATACGTGTCTACTCGATATCGAGGACATGTAGTTATAAGTAGTCTTCGTCATATGCAAGATCAGTAGCGGCGGGGAATCGAATCGATGTGTAAAAATAATTACACACGCGTGATAACGTGATCCGATAAAAAGCTTGATTGTTAAACATTTATTTTGCAAGGGGGGACAGGATGATTTACATTTACGACTGCGAGCCATTTTAGAAACATCGTAAAGCGCTGCAGATAAAGACGCAAAGTATAGAACAGCAAACAGCCAATAGCAAAAAATACATTTGCATATTTCTTCACGGTACATATTATCGAACACGGCTCTTATGGTCATACGAAACCATTAAATGAATAGGAAATTCGACGTCCGTATTGTAGGGATCTGACTGACGAGCGGCCTTGTATAACAATATAGAGTGCAGGGGATGATAATTCTGCGTAAGTATAACACGATATAACGTGTCGCGGGCCTAATTAACGTAAACGAAAATATAAATATGATAGCTGGACGAATACTTTTGCAGAGCGCAGGGGATGAAATTTTCCTGGAAGTAAAATGAGCTGGAATCAGAAATACGAAAAAAAGCTCGGCTAGGGCGGCGCAGAGAGGGGTGAAACGTCCCTTCTCGCGAACGTCCGATCCTCTGCCGAGAAGCAACCCCTCGTACACAGGAGGGTTCAGGGTGGATAAAGCTGCTGGATACGTAGGGGGTAAGGGATTCGCGCGGCGGGAGAGGGTCAACGGGGTTGCGCGGGGGTGGAAAACCGTGTGTCGGTGCGTAGCTAACAGGCGAAAGCTAGGAGGACTCGACGCGAAAGAGTAACGCGAACGCTTTGAGCTGACGAGTAACGCGAGAGACGAGGACGAGGGAATAGGCAGTGGGAGAAAGAGAAACTCTTGGAGGGAACAAAGAGAAGCGTATCGGGTAGGAAAGGAAGGAGCGTGGGAGGAGTGCGGGATCAAGAGAGAGAAAGAGAGAGACAGACAGAGACCGAGAGAGCGAGTGTAATGCAGACAGGATGTAGAGAGAGAGATAGAGAAAGAGGGAGAGATATATAGGTCTTTCTCCCCATGGGTGTACATATACACGTCCTGGTCCCTTATTCCCTGTACGTGCGAAGGGGGTTTCGAGAGGCTAGCAACGGTACAGCCACGACGACAACGAGCCACAACCACGACGCCGAGAAACACGACTACTACGACACCGCGTGGGGGTTGCACGAAGACCCCCTGGTGGGGTTCTGGCTGGCGACCCCACAGTCCCCCGCTGGAAATGATATCAGTCGCGACTCGGTCGAGGGAGCCCCAGCACGTGCCGTGCCCCTCGCAAAGAGCCAGCCGCCAGCTCGCTCGATTCGACGATCCGTGGATACGTTGTTGACGCGCGCGATCCTCGAGTCTCGCGAAGAGACAGGTACCTCTTGCTCCCGGGGAACAGGAAACGGTGTACGTACCCGGTGCTCGGGACGAGTGAACAGCAAGCCACGGTGTAATTTTCATCTACCCCCTCCTCCCCCCCGCAACCCTCGGATTGTACACGTACGCAAACACGTATACGCGTCGATTGATTCCTGGCGTTAACAGTTTGAACCAACGGGACCATCCGTGGGATCATCGTCTCGGGCTCTCAAAGGTGAGCGAAAATGAAAAATGGCACAGGGTACATTCTGTTAGTAGAACGTTAATTGCTGTCACCGCCCATTTCCGGTTTCTTAATTCAATCTCGTTCGGTAAAATCGGCCGGATCGATGATCTCGATCAATCGACGTTCGTCAACTGTCGGTCGATGGGCAGACGTGTTTCGCAAGGGTGAAGTGACTTTGCGAAACTGTCGATTGGGTATTTGCGCTGACTCCGATGGTGCTCGAGACCTCACACGACATCTGTGGACTGGCTACACCTGAGCTGCAACTATTTGCAGTTTTTTTCCTCTTTCTGTTTACGATAGGCACTCGGAGCCGTGCGATGATTCCATTAACTTGCTCCTAATAGCCTCATGAAGCGAATGGTCATAGCTGATCGCATAATTGACTGCGAATGCACTTGTACGACATCTACGAGGTGTCCTGTTATAAACTCCTTTCCCTTGTTCCTTAAGAGTTCAAGTCGATACTACGGTTGTCAATCTTCAATTCCCTGCCTAAAGAGGAGACGATACCTCCGATCAACTCAATTTTCAATAGGAAACGCTCTTCGTCGATCATCGTTCAAAAATAACTTTAATCGGGCTCTAATGGATTCTTTTAATAGATCTCCGACACGTTATTAGAAAAAGCGACGATCTCAAATTATCTCGATCCCGTACTGGCTTAGTTCACAAATGATTTTATGTAGTCGGGTCTCGGGAAAGCGGAAAATTTTTGGTAAAAGGACAGGAGAGAACGTCGTCGTACCCGTTTTATATCGGGTGCACACGTTCCCGAGACGCGACGACAAGGCGCGGGTATTAATAGAGTCGACGTTGGGACGGGGCACGCGGTTTAAATCTCGTCGTTGCTCTCTTGATCTTTGGTTTCGGAGTTCTAGAGCGCTCTAACCAGCCATCAGGGAGATCTCGCGCATTCTTGGATACCTTAGTCACGCGAATCAGTGACCTCGATACGTAATTTCAAATAAATCGTAATGAGTACTGAAACGAACGATACATACTTACGATACACGTACAGAACCTTGGTGTGCCTCTGTTTGTAAGAGAACCTAATTGCCAGATAGGTATGAAATTCCGCTTTTTTCAAGGCTAGCATTGTCTGTTTTCTCGCGTCAACTGCTATCAATCGTTAGAATCGGTTTTTATACAAGTACGCTAATGAAAACAATTAATTGTTTCAAACGCAAAGCTTGAAATCGTCTCTGGTTAAGACGTTCCATTAGAAACAATATTTCACGCTTGCTAATCTATCCGATTTCTGTGAGCCTGTTATCGGTTGCCAGAATGTACACACTCGAGTCAAACTTTCCACCTAAAATTAATATAACCCACCTTTGCGAAATGTGGGAATTGATAATGCGGTCACGTTCTGTTATCGGATAACAAAGATAGATACGGGTGAAACGACGAATAAATGCAAGAAGAATTCAATGCCAGTGAAAATTTCTGCTTCTGTTCAAGCTGTTATTTTAGTATCGTCGAGCTGATAGTTCGGCTATGTTTATTATGCTCGTACGGGGATGTAGATGGTACATCGGATATACCAGTTCATAGTCGCATCGAATATACCGAGTGAAAATCCCTCTAGAAATAGTAATAGCAGTTTTATAAAGTACGAGGCCTCTTTACTTCCGTCAGGCACGGTTATACAAATTTCTCTTAAAAAGCGACGATACTATGTAGCATTCGTTCAATGTGTTCAAAATAATTTTTAGCAAAAGATGCATCAGGGTCTACACAGCTGATATTGTCTCGATAGCATTATCTTCACGGTGTATAATGTGTACCTGTAACGATGATTACGCACACCTGATATCAATCGTTTCTTTATCGCGTTACGGCACCGAATCGTTAACATTCAACTCCGTGGCTTATTTCAAACCACGGAGTCGAGATCATCTTTCTCACTCATAGGTATTATATCTATGCAGTACGTAATTAGCGCATACCGGTCTGCGAATTTTTCTAACTCTAATACCTGGTTGATCATCCGTTTTCCTTGTACGTCTGTAGGTATGTACTTCGCTAGAAGATATCTGAAGTATTCCATCCTCGGTATCAAATAAAATATGCATGCAAATAAAAAAAGAGTAAATCGAGAGAAAGACTTATCTGATTAGAATTTGAAATTGCTCTTGGAAAGAGATTGCTTGCGTTTGAATTGGAAACGTGATTTATGATGTTCAATTAAATTCCATATAATTCAAAAGGCATTGAGAAATTAAGTACCGTCTGATCAAACAAAGTCATATCAGAATTTAGTAATTATTATCGTCGAATGGAACGAATGACTTGTTTTTATGAAAGAGATTATGAATGGCTAATTATCAGTTTGTAATAAAAGTAAAGGAAAGGAATTTAATCTTCTACTAGAATTTGGAAAGGGTATTGAATAGATATGGGAAAGAGAGTAGGTCACACGATAAGTGGTCAAATAAATTTAACTGTTTCGAACTTCGTGAACGTTCGAAGTCGTCCACGTGGTCGGCGAGATCGAGGGCCTGGGTGCTTTTTTTATAACGTCTTCTGGTGCGACGACCCGCACGACGACGGCACTCTCGTACGGGGGACCGACGAGCTCCCCCTGTCAATTTTCGTGGACCCCGTGTCTGGTGTAACGCAGAAACGGGAGGGAAAAAGGGTGCGTTCGGTCGACACAGGAACGTAGCCCCTCGCTAATGCGTGACGGGGTCCACCAACGAAATTATGGATCGGGCCTAGCCGCTGAGCCTGCGCACGGCCATCCGTTTCAATCGTTCTGCCCTTCTTCAGCCCACTTTCTACCTTCACCTTTCTCATATGTCATATATGAACACCTAGCCACGTATGCGTCTTCTACCTCATGCCCGAGCCTCGATTCTCCCTTAATTCTTTCTTCTATTCAAATGTAACAGTACAGAATACCATTCCTATTTCTCGATCTTTACATTCCATCGGTCTGCCAGTCGTCCCGACGATTTCGCCTTTGAACGTCAATCTCTGCGTTCTACATACATCCACTTCACGATTATAGCATTTAAAATACAATAATTACAAATACCCAAAACCATCGCGTTATCTTGAATAGCTAATAAACTGTGGCAGTAAATTTTATTCGAACAGCGAAAGACTTATTGAATTTCATTCTAAACGAATTACCTAGCTACCTCGAAGCAAACACGAAGTTCCCGTTCGAGCACAATACTAACCGAGTTATTCTCGGCGTTAATCATCGTAGGTGGACTTCCGACTTCGCGGACACGTAAACTGCGTGATCACGGTAGTTGAATGTTTAAAGACCAGCCGTCGCATCGCATCATCCGTCGTTCCTACGTGTATGTGCACAGTTGCCAGAGATGTCAATTGTTACGTGAACATCTCGAGTTTCGAATATGTAATCGCGTGTAACGTGTCAATTAAATTGACGTTCTCCATGATCCCTCACTGTTTTAATTATGATGTAACGATTCTCATCGTATTTACCAGGAAAATTTTTCCAGTGCCAGTTTCATATCTTTCAACCTTACAGAATTACAATTGTACATATTTCAGTAAAAGAATAATTAATAAATTAAGCAACTTTGTATAAAACATTTTAACGATTAATTATATATTTAATTTTATTTAATAAAGATTAATTATATGTAACGAATGCTTTTGACTCAGGAAGTATTAAGGTAGCATTCGAATGTTTTGTAGGAAACGCTGGTGTCGCGATAATGGGTGAAAAAACGTTCAATCTCACGTGGAACAATCACTTAGCGAATCTCTCAGGATTGTTCGAAGGACTATACAAAAGCGGTTCCTTGACTGACACAACGTTGGCCTGTCAGGGTGGAATGTTGAGGGCGCACAGATTGGTTCTGGCAGCATGTAGCCCTTACTTCGAAAGAGTCTTCAAAGAACATTACGGAGAACAGCCCATTCTTATTTTAAAGGGTACCGATCAAATTTCTCAATTTCCAACTTTCAATTTGTACAATGGATAGAAAATTTCTTCTCGCGATTAAATTTAAAACTATATTACAAGGAAGTAAAGCAAGTCGAATTTATTATTGTCTGTTACTACACGTGTGTGACAACCACAACAGGTGTGGCGGTGGAGGAAATGGAATGTCTGTTGGACTTCATGTATCGCGGATCGATCGACGTCGCGGAAGAGCATCTGCCCTCTTTGATCAAAACCGCGACGGATCTAGAGATTCGCGGTTTATCCGGCGATCAAAGGAACCAAGAGAACAGCAGAAGTCCGTACACGAGGGTCGAGACGCGGATGCAACGGTGCCACATAGAGGCGAGAGTTCACACGACGGAGTACATGAAGGAACCGTCCGTGATCCCTTTCTTACCTAAGTCTTCCGTCGAATCACTGGAGGATCACATCAAGGTGGAGGAAATCGAAGGCGAGGACGATCCGATGGTGATCGACGGACACGAGGACGCGTTCGACGAGCCCCTCAGAACGCCCGAAACGCAAATTGTAAGTTTGCCAATCATTATGGTTCTTTTTTTTACTACCACACACACCTCGTTTCTAGCTTAATCAGGATTGAAAATAAAGGGAGCAGCTTCGTTCGATCTCCTTGATTATAATTATTAGAGGCACGGAAAGTTTCTTGGTTCGGCTGCACTGTAATCGAAAAGTGCATTCAAATTAAAAGAAAGTTTGTTTGATACATTCCTACCACGGACGGTGGACTAATGAAGTTTGCGTAACAACTTCCGAACCCCTTTGATTTAAATTGCCTATATACATTTTCGACGTTATCGATCCTTTCCCCATCAGCCACTGTCTATCCAACGTTTTACATATACTGAAAGTTTCCTGGCCGAATCCTTATTCATTTTACATTTTCATAATACATCGAATCAATAGTGGCTATGATTAAATTGTTTATGTAAAAACGATGTTATGTAAAAACGGAATAAAATGGACAAATTTCTTCCACCAGAGGCGCATGCCACCGCCAATGTACAAACGTGAAACGCGATTCAAAGGTCAGAAAAGGGTCTCTGTGGGTCGTTCGACGCGAAACAGCGACGTTCTGGAGTTTAGAGCGAAGGAACGGAAGGAGGACTCCACCAGAGAAGGCTACGAGGGTTCGGCTAACGCGATTAAATCTGAACCAAACTTTAATAACGGATCCACAGATCCCATGGTACCGGACATACAGATGAACGACGATGACTTACAAGAACGAGATGAGAATCTGGTACGAAAAGATGATAATTGGCAATTAACATTTTATTCAAAAATGCTTTCATGCAATCGGCCTGGGACGATATGAAGGGATTGAGCGAAACACAAACTGGTTGTCTTACATCGAAACATCCTAATATTAATACTTTCAACATTTCATAAATTATATGGAATAGTTTTGTTTTCAATTAATTAAACGAACATTCGATTAAATCGGATGCATTAATTTCCAAACAATAACCATTTTATTAACCAAACGTTCTTGTAAGCCCGGATTCGTGGTCATCGCAGCTAATTACACTTGCATGCCACCCCTTTCTCAATTACAGGACTCCTCGAAGACTGCCGAAGAGAATGCAAGGTTGACGATCAAGAAGAAAACGGACATTTCCACGAGAAAAAGTTCGAACGAAGGAAAAGTGACCAGGCCTATATTGGCCAGGTCCGAGAAGGCTCAGTATAAACCCTTCTCTTGCGACTTGTGTACACTGGCGTTCACCAGAGCTTCTCATTTGGCCAGACACAGAAGGGTTCATACCGGAGAACGACCGTTCGCTTGCAGTATTTGTCCGCGAATGTTTGCTAGACAGGATAAATTGAAACAACACGTGGATTCACATTTACAGTGGCCGAAAAGGAAGAACAGTTTGTCGAGCCCCAGTTGTCAGTCGGCGCCACCGGTACCGGGTAAGGGGAAAAGAGGCAGACCGAGGAAAGTAAGTCATTATAAAATTCGATGAACAATGTATATTAAAATATTTCATATGAGTAATCCAAGATGTAAATATAACACGATGGGACGAAATGTCTTTTACAGGTGAATATAGAGCAATCGGCTATGGAGGAAATACTGAAATTCGGGGAGTTCAGTTCTCTCTTAAATAAATCTCATTCGGCGAACTCTGGAGAAAAAGCCGAAGAGTTTTCTGAGAGCGAGAAGAAGGCGAAGGAGCAGGAAGAGGATGCGATGGAGGAGGGAAACGAGGACAAGGACAAGGATAAAGATCAGGACAATTACGGGTGTCAGGTCGAAAACGGTCAGGACATTAATTAAATTCTCTTCCAACATAAATAATATTTTTCTACGGGCAAGGAATCGCATGGTTCGATACCGAACTTTCTCGATCAACGAACCAGATACTTTTGTCGATTTCTTTTTCGAGCAAGAAGAGATGTAGATTGGCACGTGTTCTGTTGCTAATTAGTTAATCTCTTAGGCACTACGCGCCAAAATAGTGGCTTTCGCGGATGTCATCTTTCTGTACGACGCACCACTATAGTGGCTTTCGCGGGTCTGTGTTTTGTACCATGTTTTATAATACTGAATTGTATTATTAATTATTAGAATGAATCGTTAAAGTTACAATGCATGTATCATATCTTTAAGAAAAATTATAATTTAATCATCGAACATTTCATTCCTCGTGTAAAGAACAGCATTATCCGTCACACATTGCAGTGCCGTAATTCGCGTTGAACTCTGCCGTACAGAGAAACAGACCCGCGCAAAATTCAGCAGTGCCTAAGAAGTTAAGCAAGCTTTAAGTGCAATAACCATTATTTTCGATGCTTACCCAAAGATCGCTATCGTTTGATGCTAGCAAATTGAATTAGTTAAATGTTACGTTTCGTGTTTTGCGTAAATGAGATGAATGCACAACGATGCGTGCTAAGGAGACGGTTTTTGAAACACTCGCAGAGCGATTTCTAATTGTTGTGAAAATATTGTTACTTTTAATTTATTTCAGTTTCAGTTTATTACATAATTCTAGCGAAGATAATTCACGTGTGTATGAAAATTGATAAACGGGTCGATAAGAACTCGAAATATTTGTTGCTTCACCGGTTGGACGGATATGCGTGGCACGTCGTTAAATCTGTGGTTCGAAACAAAAATTGGGGCACAATTTATTAACCGATATACGAACGAGCGTGTATACAGTATACAATCATACGTACTTACATACGTAACAATAAGATTTCTCGTTTCTTTTCTACAATAGTTTTACCGTTTTTTATACAAGTTCCTCGTTTCTCGGAAGGAGCGTCTCTCCTCTATCGTAGACGCGACAACACGATAAAAAAGAAGAACTGTACCAAATTTTGTCTCAAGACTATTTATTTATTTATTAAGACTCGTATACTTGTCGTCGTAGATTAAATAAAAAAAATTGAATAAAATCGACTCGTTCTCGAGAGAGTACCTGAAACACCCGGTATTCGGGTGAATACAGGCCATATAAGAATCTAATAAACAATCCTTATCTCCCGTTCTTCGAGATACTCGTCTAGATGTAAATCGATTTTCTACGACGGATCGTTCGTAGTAAGTACGCGATATTTCTACCGTACGATAAGATTAGGGGAAGGAAACGTTGGGAACTCGACCAAATTACTTAAGCTGAGAAGACTGTGGTATGGTTCGCATTGCGAGATTTAACTGTGTTCACTTTTCACACTTTTATGACCGTTCACCTAGAGACGCAGACATCGATAACGATACTCGTTACATTTCGTTATCACAACTTTTGTTGTCTAATTAATTTTGATAAACTAATTAGATTAGACAAAATTACGTGCGTACGCGTGGTTTCGAGGCCTAACGAGAATCCACACTCGAGTGTTTCTAAGATTTTTAGATCCGTGAAATCGGACGAGACGTAATTTCATTTCTAATCGCATGGATCGTCGTGCACAGTTAAATGCATACGATGATGCAAACTATGCCTAACGTAAACGAGGCTCGACGATTCTCAAAGTTGAAAAACAAATGAAACTCCAATTATTTTGTTATACAGACAAACATACATACGTCAAGTACAAATGTCCAAATATTAGAGTATACGTGTGCGTAAGTGTGCGTGCTGTGCTGTAATCGAAAAGAAACAGAAGAGAAACAGCACCTATTAAACTATTAAATATTAAACGGTTAATTAAGCGCGTTTCAATTTTCTCTTTATTAAGAAAGAATGTGTATTCTTTTATTTTCTAATTGATAACGCTGTTTCATTTGCGATTTCGTTTCCTAATGATTTATGATTATTTATCCGCCTCGAATAGTGTTTCAGCGGTAGTTTAATTTTGTTTCGGTTCTAGAGCGACGTAAAATAGTTACGAAGTACACGGTTTACGGTGTAATTCATTTCTGTAACGTCGACTGTTGTTGTTGTTGTACGAATGTGCGTTTCGTTTAATTGAATCTTGTTGCTGGACCTGTCGCAATGTTAAACGCCTCCCGCCCTCGTATTTTTTTATTACACGGCGATGTGCAATGAGTTATTTCAGCGAATCGTGATTTGGTCCGCGAGTGAACTTGGTGCAATTCTAGAGCGTCCAGAAGGTCGTACACGCGAATCTTCATATCTTACAGTGTATATTATGTAGCAGGTGTAAATAAATTCTAAAGCCAAATGTCTGCATTTTTCATTGGTGCCAATTCTATTTTGTAAATGTCTCGTGTCAATCTAAAATGAGTAAGTGATAATAAATATCACACAAATATCAGGTGTAGGCATTAAAAATTATGGTACCTCGCCCGGTTCTCGTTTATCGCAATTACCATTATATTCTCGGACATACAATATATTTTTACAAATATGGTTTTTGTCTTCTTGTTCGCATATACACAGACTTTTCAAGGGTCAGGTGGGAAGATTTAGCATGATCATATATTATACTTTCTCTTCGTTACGATTTGCAATTTGTGTAACGCCGAACTGCGTGCTAACGTCAATATGATCCCTAGTTCTGTTTCTTTGCATTTCATTCTCTCCACGCTTTTAAGTACCTATCGTTAATTGCCCTGCGTCAACGCTACTATACCTTAAGCTACTTCCTCTCGATGAGTTTGTTAAAAAAACGATTGACGACGATCCGTACGCGAACAAATCCGATCAGAAAACAGTGTCGTTTACTTATTGTTAGACTCATAATACACACTTCTCGTCTGAAGGTTTGACTGGCTGTATTGATGCTATTTAGATTAATCGAAATTCGTCGAGAGGAAGTAAGGAAACATAATTAGCGTGTTATGTCACGGCATCGATAAAAACGTCTTTAGTTACAAGTTATTTACTTATGTTTACATGTTTTACGCGTGCCACAGGCAAGCAGACATACATGTACAACAGCGGTGATACGATACGATAGATATCTTACGGTTAGACACAAACAGCGGTATTTTTCTCCTTGGCTGTCGACCGGTCGACTATACAACGTAACGGTTACAGTATTATCCTTATTATCACCAAACGAAAATGGTAAACCGTTCGAGAAAGCATGGAATTTAACGATTTCCCGTTTCGTCAATTATTATTTTTGTTTATTCATGTATAGATACTTGTTTGTATAAGCTCGACAGGCTCGTGCGAATAACGTTGCAGTTGAACGTTGCAACTTTTTAACATGCCCAAAATTCTTCTAACGACCACCCTCCCTATGCGTGGCAATTGTCCAAAGTTATCAAACGATAGTGCTAAGAATTATTTCAGATTCAACTTTTCAATGCATCTTATGCAAGAATTCATCGAACACAATTAAACGACGTTATAACTGCCGCGCATAGGAGACTCTAAAAAAGGACTTTATGCTCCGTTAATCTCAAGTGAGTATACGTATATCTAATTAGTTAACGAAAAACATCGGTTCGATAATTACTACAAATATTGCGAGCTGCTTGTGCTACTATCAACAAGAACGTACTCTTAAATTTTATCTTATTGTCGTATAAAATGCGTATATCATTTTTGACGTACCTCGCAAGTGAATTTTACCCCCGATCATAATTAATAAAACGCTTAACGTGCTCGATACTTATCGATACTTTGTGCGATGCAACAATTTTATTTTACTTAGTATTTTTGTTCATTTTAATAAACTGTATTTACTTTCAGCTATCATATGCCCCGCTCGTCGCCATTCCTCGCGGTCTTTACGTCTAATAGGATATTCTCGTCGCGAGGCAACTCGATTATTATTCGCACAGTCTGTTTCGTGTAATTGTGCACAGTAATTGAATTATACCCACAAACAAAAGTGTGTATATTGCAGATTTTTTTATACAAATAATTGCGTTCGGTTTTTCCTTATAAAAGACAAGTCCTCCAGCTATATCGAGATGTGCGCTATTCTCAATTCATTACTCCCGGATTTCCCCTTTTCGTACAATTTTATTTCCATTCACGCGCACACGCATACATAATAATCACGAATATGTCTGTGTATGTGTGTGTATATGTGCGTACGTGTGTGTCTGTGTGTGTATTATATTGTCGATACGTCGACGGGAATGATCGATAATATCAATTGCGGATTTTTCGAAATTTAATGCCTAATCGATATTGCTGTGAAACAATGTAACATCAATTTTATAACTAAACAACGTGTCCAATCCGTCTTGAATTTTGTGACCTTTGGTACGTTCATTTTCGTGTTTAACGAGATTAAAATATTACTTAATAAAACAGAAATATCTATACTCGTAAAGATTTTATTGCCAATCAATTGTACCAAAGCGAGTGAATATTTTTCTTATGTGTATGCACCTATACCTTGCAATTAGCTATTACATACGTATATTATTTAGAGATTTATATCAACGTTGTTAAATAGTGTACTATTTGTTAAAGGGAACAATTGATAATTTCGATTTTTTTCTTTACTCGGTATGTATTGTGATATGATTGCATTTATTGACACAAAGTCATACGTGATTCACGCATACCCAGGTAACGATGTCGGAAATTACAATTAGCTGAACCTAAACATTTGAAACGAATCGTTGTTGAAAGTAATTTAGAAATAAGAAAATTGTCGTCGACCTAACTAGAGAACAAACGTGCAACGTACTCTGACACGTTAAACATTTCTATTCAATTCTGTCCCCTTTCCATCATTAATTACTATCTTCCTTTAAAAAATCATTCGTTCAGACCAGTTCTACGAAACACAATTGTCAATCAACTAAGTCGATAATTACGTGAGCTGTGTGTACGGGTAAACCTACATAACTTACGATTCTGTCAACATGAATCACAAAGGTGATCGGTTTCTGCGGCAAGAAATACGATTCTCGCTCTACTACTTCACAGATGGCTCAGGGTAGTTTTTTGTTTCCTTTTACCTAGATTTATTATATCACCACGGACCAGGTATACGAGTAAACCTGTCGACCACTGTATTTTTCTCTCCTCTATCCCGTTACCATTTTTGTCCCAAGTGACACAACATCCCTTTTGTTCTCCAATCAGTATAACTTCAGTAAAGTTGAAGCTTGATCTGACTATTCATGAATACGAACAGGGAATGCTTGAAATCGTCCTTAATTTTTCGTGCCGGTAGGTCAGTCGAACGTGAGACGCAGGAGTTCATGAAGACGAGAGGTTTACTCGTGTATTTCGCCTGTGATATCGCTACGCTCGCGATCGTTCGCAGGTAATCACATTGAAACAATGAACGTTTCGTTACGTTCCAAGCGGTAACGAAATCGATAACAAAAGTATTGCGTAACCATCGTCATCGATTTTTATTAATCCAGCGACAGTACACTGAAGAACATCGCATTGCCTTTTGTTTCGAGTCTTCGATTCCGCGTTTATCATGCAACGATCATCGACCTTGCTTTTACCAATATTTCGACTATCCGCGCGTACTTTTAGTTTTGAGTGTAATAAAAAATGCGATGTATTTGGACTTGAATAATTGAGATCACAGGGTATGCGATGCCATTGTCGTCGCTGGGTTAACATCTTCGTTTTCGTAAAACGAGGTAGTGTCATTTGGTGGTGGCAAGAATAATTTACAATAAAGCTAACGAGGATGAGACACCGGTCACCACGAACAAATGACACTATTTCGCACACGTTTTACGGATACTTCGTGTAGCGTACTAATTGTAAGTACCTTATTTTATCGATTACGCAGTTCCTTGAATGATGCGAACGATGAACGCGGTTGCATCCATTAAAAAGATACCATTCGACTGTATCAGCTTCCTTCCGCGTTCCTTGGCCACAAATTTCGTCATTTGTATTTGTCATAACCATATCTATGGACAATAATCGTGTCGACGTTTTAATTGATAAACAAATAAAATACAAATCGATAATATTTAATTAGTATTGTTTCATTTCTCAATACGTGTATAAAATGGATATAAAGAATGGAACGTGCAAAATTGTGAGGAACATAAAAATAATATTTTGCGTAATTATTTTAAATAAGTTACAAAAATTTTAATCGAAGTTGCATTTTTTGAATTGATACTAT